CCCGCCGATGATACCCATATCGGCGGGGGAGGGTTCCTGCTAGTGGAGTGAGGGCCCATCGACGTAACGGGGTGCTACTTCCCTCCTAGATTAAATAGGAGGGAATACGAGGACGCCCTGGAGTCCTTGGGGGAGCACATACATCGACGCTCCCCCAGGCCAACGATCGTGGGGGTGGGATTTCAACGCTCACGCTGTTGAGTGGAGATCCCCCTCCACCGACTCCAGGGGCGATAGCACCCTGCAATGGACGGCGGGACTCGGCCTGATTCTAATGAACCAAGGCCGGGTCAGCACTTTCGTGGGGTCGCGGGGGGAGTCCATAATAGATCTTACATGGGCGACCCCCGCGGCGGCTCAAAGAGCCAAAGGTTGGCACGTGGACGCCGGCTCCCTAGGAGAACAATCGGATCACAGGGTGATCCGAGTGGAGCTGGTGTCTACATCCGCGGAGGTGCAAGTTAGACAACGCTGCCACAGAGAAGAACGTCGATGGGTCCTAAAGAAACTGGACCTCGACGCCCTCGAGGTGAGCCTCCTCTCATCCACCTGGCCTGAGCGGCCGGAAGTCACGGTGGAGGAGGGGGCAGCATGGCTCGGGGACGTCATGTCGCGGGCGTGCGACGCGTCGATGCCCCGCTCTCGCTCAATGAGTAGGAGGGCGGCTTACTGGTGGTCGGAGGAACTGGCTGACCTCCGAAGGACCACCGTAGCCGCCCGGCGCACATACACCCGCGCCCGGCGGCGGGGCTTCGACGCGGAGGTGGAGAGGGCCGCGGAGGGCCTCCGCAACGCGCGGAGTGCCCTCCGTGTGGCCATTAGGCGGGCGAAGGCCAGCGCCTGGCAAGAACTAGTTTCCTCCCTGGACAGGGATCCGTGGGGGAGGCCCTATAAGATAGCAACAAAGAAGTTGCGACCATGGGCCCCCCCGATAACGGAGACCCTGGACGTCCCGTTCCTCGAAGAGGTGGTGTCCGCCCTCTTCCCAACAAGGGATCGCGAGATCCCGGGGAGGGCGGGCCCACCAGAGGGATGGGTCGAGGAGCTGGGCGTCTCCGAGGAGGAGATGGCGCAGGCCTTCGCCTGCCTGAAGGGTAGGCCCCGCGCACCGGGGCCCGACGGCGTGCCTGGCAAAGTGTGGGCAGCTGCGGCCCCGGTGATCGGAGCGAACGTGAGGCAGCTCTATACGAGCTGCCTCAGAGAAGGAGTGTTCCCCGGGTTGTGGAAAAGGGCCAGGCTTGTCCTCCTACGCAAGCCAGCGGAGAATCCCTCCGCATATAGGCCCATATGCCTACTGGACGATGTGGGAAAGCTGTTCGAACGAGTCATCGCTGCCCGCATCGTCCGGTGTCTGTCCCGGGATGGTCCAAACCTGTCCTGCGGTCAGTATGGCTTCCGGGAGGGCCGATCGACAATCGATGCGATCAAGCAAGTGCGTGCCCTCTCGGAGCGGCTGACCGCGGACGGGAAGGTGGCGTTGGCGGTGTCACTTGACATCGCCAACGCCTTTAACAGTCTGCCGTGGGGCCAGGTGATGGGGGCGTTGAGGGAGCATTTCCTCCTGCCCCCCTACCTGGTTGCCGCGGCCGGGGACTATTTCCGGGATAGATAGCTGGAGTACCGGGACAAGTCCGGACTCCAGCAGCGGAGGGAGGTGTCGTGCGGCGTCCCTCAGGGGTCGGTGCTTGGCTCTCTATTATGGAACGTCGCATACGACGCCGTACTCCGCGCGGCCCTGCCCCCCGGCTGCCACGTGGTGTGCTACGCCGATTATACACTCGTGGCAGCGGGGGGTACAACCTGGAGAAGAGCTGTGTGCGGCGCG